TATAGTGAAGACTAGAGCTGGGTATCGATCAAAAATTTCGATACCGATACTTTCGGTCCCCAAATTATACTTTTCTCGTTACCAATTTTATTAAATCCATTTCAACAAGATTACATTACACACTAGCTCCAAAAACTTACATTACCTCATAAAACTATTGTTTCCAGTTTGTTGAGGCTTTTACAGACTCATCTACTGAGCCCCTGGCACAAAGGAACAAAATGTAACCAACACAATAAATCATTGCAAATAGTTTTAATAAAGTTCAAATACTTTTCAGTGAAAAATGAACAGTTTTAAGTCAGTATGTGAGGCTCACTTTAAATCACTCAGCAGTTCTTATTAAAAAAAATAAAAAATAGCATGTCTGTTTTTTCGGGAGACAGACAAGCCCTCTCTTCACTGATGATGTCCTGAGGACAGTATATGATTTGTATGTGATTTTCATGAGATTCTGCCTATTTTATAGCAATACAGGGTGTGTACGGTACATGAGAAATGCTAAGCAGGTGTAGCGATTAGCTTGATATAAAAGGCTACAAATATGTTATTATGCAATGTCTGCAACATTTAATGACCAAACCCCACATTAGACCGCAATCAGAAGTTATTACAAACACTCAATGGTGGTTTAAATTGAGTTTTGAGTAAAAGCATAGTATACATTTGATAAATTGTCTTATGTAGCATGATGCTACAGTGTGAGTGAATGGTCACGTAACATGCGTTTTCCTTGACGCCTCGCCAGAGCCAATCACTGATTTAGGCACATAAAGCATACTGCATGCTTATTAGCTCACTGACTTTAATGAGTTTAACCCCTTAGGTATCAATATTTGGTAGCGAACGACAAGACATTTTTGGATACTCGATAGTATCAAGGCAATTCGGTCAGTGCCTAAAAAGAATTGAACTCAATACCCAGCCCTAGTTAAGACTAATTAAGTACATTTTTGTGTCTATCTGACAATAGTTTATTTAAATGAAAAGTGAACAGCTGGTGAAGTGACTCTCACTGACTCTCTGACAGACTCTTGAAACATCACGAGCATCACGCATGCTTTAGTATGTGCAGTAGACCAAACTGTGCCGCTCATTCACACAGAACATGCAGACTGCATATTTCAATAGCAGGCCTTTTGCGGTTTGTTCACAGACACTCATCCTTATCGCCATTTGATGAAGTGTACAGCACTACTTTTGATTCATTCATCCTAAATTTGCCAAATTCCATGACATTCTGATTTATGCAGTCAAATCAACATTTATGACTGGATTCCACGATTCCTGCATTGTGATACTCATAGGGCCCTACATGCATGTTCTGCTATTTAACAGAGAAACATTGCACACGCTTTCACTATTACTCCATTCTAGTGGCAAAAGGCTTCAGACAGCAATGTAACATTTGAAACGGGTGTTTGATCTCTGGAACCAGTGGTTAATGAAGTCACTTCCGACTAAATCAACTCCAGTGGGAGTAACGTATTCGAGAAGCCGGGTGATGAAGCTACTGAGCTTTTGGCTAATTGCACAGGGAGCTTTGAGACGCAGCACAGTAAATATGACAGCAGAAAAGGATTGTTCTGTTCTTTCTGTCTCTTTTCACTTGATTCATGTCTCAGTCTCAAGTAGACAGACTTTTCAGGATCGCTATAAAGTCTGGCTCGCTTTGCTGCTTATTCTGCTCAAGAAATAAACAAGAACTTCCCATTTAGATGGGAAGAAACCGTCTAATTAACCTTAGTTGGTTTGCTTCTATATGCTGTTTAAGGGCAGTTAAAGGATCAAAGACATGATGACATCTATTAAAGTGACAGTTCACCCAAAAACGAAACTTCTGCTATTTACTCATTTACTCACCTTCAACTTGTTCCAAACCTGTTTTTTCTTTCTTCTGTTGAACACAAAAGAAAATATTCTGAAGAATGTTGGTAAGCAAACAGTTGATGGTACCCAATGACTTCCATAGTATAGAAAAAAAATATATACTATGGAAGTCGATGGCTACCGTCAACTGTTTGGTTACCAGCATTCTTCAAAATATCTTCCTTTGTGTTCAACAGAAGAAAGAAATTCATAGAGGTTTGGAACATGATGTCACGTAATGCAACCAGCGTGCAGAAAAGTCATGTCGGAATTACCATAAAATGTAAAAAGCCTCGACTACCCAGAAGTCCTCACAGAATTCCTAATTATAATTTGTAAACTTTTCTGGAATTTTCTGAAAGCTCCACCATTGTACCACCTGATCACTGCAATGTTACATGGAAACACTCAAAATAGCAGCGGCTTTAGCAGTAAGACGTAGTTATCTCATAATATTTCTGTTAAATAATTCTAATAATTGACTATTATATTAATGTATTAATAATGCAAGGTCTGAAAATAAACTAAACGCATAATACAGTTCAATGTTGCTAACACAGAGTTAGATAATTAATGTCTAATGTCCTGCTAAATAAACTTGAAATTATTCAATTTTAAGTTGTAATTATCAAAGTTATTTGCATAACGACTGTGACTTTTTTGTATTGTGGTTTTGTTTATTGATGAAATTACGCAGATTCATTTCAATATTAATAATGTTATCAAAAAATATATATAATTACATGGATTAATTTCAACGGTAATAGTGTTGCCATTGAAACACACAATTTTGAGTCCAAGGAGGCTGTAAAACGTCATATGGTACAACCCTCTAAATAAGTTTTTTTTTTTTTTAATAATGATTTGTGAATTTGCAAAACATACTTTTGAATATATTTTTTTAAAATAACGATTAAGATGTGTACACTGACATATATTTCACGTGTAAGGAAAATATGTTATTATTGACTTGACAGTTAAACCACATGACATTTTTACAGTTTTTAAATTTAAACTTTAGTTAAAAACAATAAAAGTTTTAAAAATCAATATAAAATTAGCATGAAAACAGAGATATTTCTATTTTTCTAAGATACTTTTTTTCCCCTTTCCTTATTTTTAACACTCTTAGCAAATGGCTGCAATATAACAAAGAGTGAAAAATTTAAGGGGGTCTGAATACTTTCCGTACCCACTGTATATATATATATATAATATATATTGTTTGCATATAATTTTTTCAGCAAACTGGCTTTTTATGGCTATATTTGGATTAAATCGGATCACTGGCACCATCAGATCATTCGTCTGGACTTTTGTTGATCTTTACTTGATAAATACTGCTTATTTCATATATAAAACAATACATAAATACTGCTTATTTCACACATAGAACAAACCAGAACATGCAGTTCTGTTCACGTTTGCTTGCTACTTCGTGTCTGAAACCAACCTCTGAATGTCCTTCAAAGATTTGAAGCCACTACCCTGGCAAATCCAGTTAATGATTTCTCTCACCAGTTTAAACAGGGTTTTGTTTTAATAAAAACCCGTGTGCCCACATTGCTGTCAGCCAATCTGACAGGAGATTGTGATTCTTTTAAGTGTTGCGTGTAATATGCATTAGACGGTCAGCAAATGGCCTGTGGATGTCTGAGTCTGACACTGCATGTCTCACGCGGTGCCTGCTGCAGATTTGTCAGTTATATTAGAAGCATATGGAAACTCATATATTGGCAGAACGTCCCAGTATCCCAGAGAGAAATGAGTTCCAGCACTGAGGCCTGATGGATAATCGAGCCTTTAGGCTGTTCGTTCTCTTATATGCTTCTGTATTACCAGCCCGGGGCCATGGCATTCAATACTAGCGTCCAAAGAGGAAGCTGATAAATAATTTCTCATTCCTCTACAAATCATTATTCAAATATAACGTACAAAGACAATGTATGCAAACAAGTATGCAGTCATGTTTAGGTCATATCTTAGTGCAGGGACGTGCAGAGAGTTCCTCTCAGGGGCAGGGGCTCAAATGTAAAATAGAAATGTGACCCTGAAGCACAAAAGCAGTCTTAAGTCGCTGGGGTATATTTGTAGCAATAGCCAAAAAAACATTGTATGGGTCAAAATTATCCATTTTTCTTTTATGCCAAAAATCATTAGGATATTAAGTAAAGATCATGTTCCATGAAGATATTTTGTAAAAAAAAATTCCGTTTCAAAAAATTGACCCTTATGACTGGTTTTGTGGTCCAGGGTCACAAATATATATATATTTTATTATATATATATTTTATGTTTTTGCAAGATGTCACTTATGGTCATCAAGCCTGCATTTATTTGATCAAAAGGTTAATATACTTTAAAAAATATATTTTATTCCTGTGATCAAAGCTGAATTTTCAGCATCATTACTGTCACATGATCCTTCAGAAATCATTCTAATATGCTGATTTATTATCAGTGTTGGAAACAGTTGTGCTGTAATAAATCAGCATATTAGAATGATTTCCGAAGGATCATGTAATGATGTTGAAAATTCAGCTTTGCATCACAGAAATATATGATATCTTATATTAAAATAAAAAAAACATTATTTTAAATTGTAATAATATTTCACAATATTACAATTTTTTTCTGTATTTTTGATCAAATAAATGCAGCATAAGATGAGCATAAGAGACATTCATAATGCTGCATAATTATCAAAAATGGTAATATAATAAAGTAGAGTTTTGGTGCTGCACGGTTTTGTGCAGTGCTTTGTAGTCAGTTGAAAAAAAAAAAAGTTGAAAAAATTGCTTGGTTTATTTTTTCCTTCTGTCGACCCATAGGCACTCACTGAAAGAACCATATATGGCTCGAGAGCCTATTCCGAACAGACTATGGAATATCAGTCAGTCAAGCGCAAAACACACGCAACCCATAGCAACACGTCATGGCAACGCCTCAGACTGACAGATATGTAAAAATACACATTGTCATGTTAATTATTATTCAAATGCAATTTGTTTTATTGACCACAGTATTATCATTGCTATTTGTCTGAGAGGGGCACTTTTGAGGGGCTCGAGCACCCAAAGCCTCCCCCCCTCCCTCTGTCTTAGTGGATAAACATGAAAGTTGAGACTGACCACTGCTGTTTCGGCTCTTCCTGTTGTTTTTGCCCCCCATCAGCAGCATCTTCAAGCTGTTTTTAAACATGCTGGCAGCAGGCAGAGGAGGCTACTCAGACACCTGTAGAGGAGGAGAGAAAGGATGCGTTTAGCAATGCAAACATTAGGAACTGATTTTTAAATCAAATAGTCAATACTTTATGAGTCAATGGATGTGACATATGATGCTGATACAGTATTAAGCCTGACATATGAAATAATAAAAGAATGTGCATATGTGTTTTGTTGGGTATCATATTTGATATATAAGGCTTTTAAGGCTCATATGATATAGTGAGAATATGGAGCTCATACTTGAGGCGGAAAAAATAACACCTGTGTTTTATTTCTATGGCCCAAACTGAGCAAAAATTGCAATTTTGTGTAGATGCTGATATGGTCAAAAAGTAATAAGAAATTCTGACAGCCTGTAATGTAAATCAATGAGATCTTTATAACAGACTATGTACATAAAATGCATATAAATCAGTTGATATTCATAAGATTTACCAATGTAAAAAAGTAAATCATATAAATCAGTTGTCACTCTATATCTCCCAATATATCAACTACAAGCGGTCGAGGCTTTAGAATTTTGACTTTATAGGGTTAAAAGTCATTGGATGTTTATATTCTAACAAAGGCACAATTCAAATCGTTGTTGACAAATTGCACTAAACATGCATTGAAAAAAGACACCGCTTAACTTCATGCATCCACACACAACCAGAGGCACGACAAAGGCTTTAGAGAGGATGTGAATTACCAAAAGCCATTATGTGTCATGCACTAAACTGGCTTATTGCTTTCCCCCATGTAATCAAATTCAGAAACAGGCAAAAGAGTGTGTAGAAAACAATAACCCCCCACCCTCCCGAAATATCCAGAGCTTATTTAGACTGGATGAATTGGAGGTGTAATGCTTGTGATAGCATGCGAGTACAGTAGAGAGAAAGTCAAGCTTTTATATTATCCAATAACATTAGCAGGGACACGTCTAGAGTGCTTCCTGTTTGGGTGGGTGAATATAGGCAGAGAACATTAGCATATAAACTAAGCGACTGCCTCTTCCTGTTCTCTTTAGCACAGTCTCAGTCTCTCACTCTCTCTGTCTGAGACAACTAATGAAAACAATCAGTTTGACTGGTTAGCATGGTTTGCCCCTGCTGGTAGGTGCTGTAACTACACCACTGCAAACAAAAGATGTCCCCTCAAAAGTAGCCATTCTGACAAAATGAAAATATTAAATACAATTATTTTTAAATACAAAATGTTAAATATATTTGTTAAATAGTTTTTTATTGTGTTCTCATATTTATTTTGTGTTTTTGTAAAGCCATCGTTTTATCATTTTTGTAAAAAAATTTTGTGTTAAATAGTTTTTTATTGTGTTCTCATATTTATTTTGTGTTTTTGTAAAGCCATCGTTTTGTTATCATTTTTGTAAAAAAATTTTGGGCTGTTTGGTATTGGAAATGGTTACTATTTACAATTTTTCATAGTGTGATATTTGGTAAATTGTATACAAACCAGTTAATGTCAGTAAACACTATAATAATTATTAATTATAATAATAGTACATGGAACCCACAACAATTTTATTTTTAAATTAGGTCTTCAAAAATTAGATCGGTCTTCAGCAGATCACCATTGTCAAGTATAGTAATTATTCACATGGCATTTACAAATCTCAATCAATCAATCAATCAATCAATCAATCTGTAACTGTAATCCAGAGCCTATGAGCCAAGATGGCAGACTTCAAAGAGAGACAAACTCTTAAAAAACAAAAAAAAAATAGATAACAGAGAAAGAGGCTCTTATTTTTTATTTATTTATTTTATTTTAAATTTAAAAAGGATGTTCTCTCTTAAGAACATCACACTTTTCACTGAACCAAACACTTTTGGCGACACGAGTCAAATGGTGAAGAGACAAGCACAATTACTACAGCTCAGTACTTTTTTTCTAAATACATTTTCCATTTTTTATTCCTCTACTTCTTAATTGCTCATTAGGGCAAAAGAATGCTGTGCCGTCAATACTCTCTGTGCTAGTTTAACTTCTCTTTTAAAACAAGGGAAGTCCTGACTCCTGATACCGGATACTATAGGCTGGAAAAAGAAAAAAACACTCTGAATAGTCTGGGCCTGACCCATTTGTTTAGAGTAGTTTGAATTTTGTGTCTAAGGCAGCATCCTAACAAACACAGGCTCATTGAAAAAAATGTGCGTGTGGTGTCATTTCTGCAAAATTATATTATGTTGCTTCTTGCACATTTTACAACACTTTCAAAAGTGAAATGACCAGTGAGTGGCGCTGTAATCCAAAAGAGACGAATGTGAATCTGGTTTTATTACGTTGGTTTTTGTACATATCGCAGCAGTTCAAAAACGAAATGTCTGGTGAGTGATGCAAAAAAGTTTAATACTCTATTGTGTTCAAAAATAACACCTACACTAATGGTGTGTTCACACCATAAGACTAATGGTATGTTCACACCAGGCGCGAAGCGAATATTCGCATCGCGTCTCTCGCTCTAGATTACTCGCGGGATGTTTTTCGTGTCACTCGCGTGAATAAAAACAGCACGATCAACCATGGTGGAGATAACTACAATCGCTGTTTTGTGCCTGTTGTCAAAAAGTCCCAAATACAATGGAAAGCGAAACGCCGACGTGTCTGGGTTCACAGCACCGTCCAGAGGAGGATGGATAACATTAGGATCCTGTATTAAATGTGTGTGTTACATTTTACTACTGTATATATACACTGATATTACTATTGTTTTTATTATTGATAGCAGCATCTCTGTAGCCATGCTAATAAAATACAACTACCACTACAACTGATTTTAATTGTTTTCTATGCTCCAGACCTATATAATAACAGATGGTTGCAATAATGCTCTCTTCTATTGTCTGATTCAACTGGACGTGTCAAGAAACTCTTCGCTGATTGGCTTGCGCGAGAACGCGTCATGCGAATTTTCCGCTCGAGTTGAAATTTTTGAACATGCGTGGAAGACGCGATTGAGGCGAATATCGTGGGTTCGCAGCAAACGCGTCGCGCATTTCGCATCATTCGCGTCGCGATCTACTCGCGCGAATAATTACATTCGCGTCTGGTGTGAACACACTGTAACTCTAAACCTAACCAATAGTGTTAACAAAAGCAAACATGACATAAAAACTGAATTTTACTGAAGCAACCATGTTGTTTTATCCTGCTTCTACAAGTCTTTGAGCTCTTTTATCATGACTTGTACCTGAGCACAAATGCAATACTATACCGGGTGCGCTACCAAGCAAGTTTACTATGTAAGAAAAGCAAAACATATAGAGCTGGCTATGTGATGCAAACTTCAAAATGTATTTGATAAGTAAAAAGTATTGTGCAAGGAACCGTGCAAAAATTAGTCTTTATTAATCAACAATCTGTCCCGTAATCATAATATGTGAAAAGAATAAAATTTGATTGTGTTTTACTGTCACTAGGGTTTATTTCAGCTGGAAGCTGCAGTGAATTGTATAGGTATGTTTTCAGTTTTTCACTAATGTAGGCAGAGGTGTGTTTTTTCTTTCCCCCTCATTCTACAGATCCTCTCCCTTCCTGTATAGCACTACATATGCTACAGTTACTGTGGATGGCTCATTTAGTGACGTGGTGGTTGTGTGTTGCCGCTCACTGATTGAGGTCCTGCTGTTTGTCATTGTCATGTCTCTACGGTGAGGAAGCTTCAAGTCATCGCGGGTTGTTTGTCACCCCTGCTGCATTCCTCACTCCAGCAGGGATTGTTTGTTTGGATGTTTATTATTCCAGTTCTGAAAAAAATAGTTTGGACCAGTGTTATTTTTGTTCACATAGATAATATTATAGTTTTTATTCATATTTTGAATTTGTTTTTCTTTTATATTTTCAGTTTTAATTTTAATTTTAAAGTTTTAGTCATTTTTATTAATACATTTTATTAGCTTATATATATGACATTTTATTTTATTACTTCAGTTATTATTAACTTTATTTCCAGAAACAACTTTTGTATGGTTTTAGTTTTAGTTACCTAAACTAAAAAATAAATAAAGTAAGCAGGCATGTACAATTTTCACTCAGAAATTGCTAGTAAATTTTATAATTAATTCCAAAAAACTGCATTTTGAAGAACTGAAAAAGAAATAACTACTATCATCCATCTATCTATCTATCTATCTATCTATCTATCTATCTATCTATCTATCATAACCCTGGGTTTGGACTAGTGAGCTCAAACAAACAAAAAATTCATACCTTATAATTTGAAAAAAAAAAAAAAGTATTTCAGAAGGCAGCAGGATCATGCTCATGTAGAAGTAAAACATGGGATAATATCAATACTTGATGTCAGCTGTAGTAGATACAGTAATTAGCATGAAAGGTGTTTCAGGTTGCTATAGGTCAGTGCTGCTTCACCTTATAGCCAGTCAGGGAGGAAACATTCACAAGAGCTAAAAGAGCTCTGAATGCACTCTGAATGTTGAGTGTTCTTGAACAAAGAGTAAACGTCGTCACTACGCAGTGTACACACAGCTATAAATGTTAAATATATGCAAGAACAATGTCAATTCAGTATGCAAATAGATGCAAAGTAAGGGCAAACACAAATTTGAATGCTTAATAAACTGTCAATGGAGAGTTGCAAACATAACATAACATACAACACAACATTTCTTAAAAACATAAAATTTACAATGCCCAAAATAGCTGAAATTATCTGTAAAAGAAGTTTGAATGGTGTCTGTTTTAAATTGGAGTTTAAACCACTTATTTCTAAATATATGACTATATCGTTTTCATTCATTTTATTTTAGTTTTAGTTAATAGTTCATCAAGTTAAAATCAACAAAAATTTGAAATTTTGCCTTGGCAAATAGTTGAAACCGCTATCAATATTTAGTTTTTATATTTATTTAGTTTTTGTTTTTTTCATTTATTTCATTTCACATAAATACATACATAAATAAATAAATAAATAAATAAACTTACTTATCTTCTCAAAAGAGTTTTCTATCTTTTTTTTGTTTGATAAAATTTTGCCTTGGCAAA